TCATCACTCTCACGTATTCTTTTTCCGTCACCTACTTATGCAAGCTCTATGCTCCAGCAATCCTCAAACGTCTCTCATGTCTGCTTCTATTTTTTTTTAAGTTTGTGTTATTTTCCATCAGCTAACCTTTATGACTCGATACATTTGATGTAATATTCATGTCATAACTGCCTCATCATTTTGACTTTTCCTACCTTGTCCTTTCTTGTTAAATCCTTAATAAATTTTCTTGAAAAAAAAAAAAAAAAAAAAAATTAAAAATAATAAAAAAAAAAATATTTTTTTTTTCACACTGTCACCAGTCAGTTTCCCTGATCACCGCCATGCCAGTTATATGATGATGCTGTACTGCACTGGTGACAGTATGTAAAAAAAAATTGTGAAAATCCTTTTTTTTTATTTTTTCATTTTCCGAAAAATTATGACAAAAATATACAACTTAAAAAACTCTCCATGCCTCTTATGAAGTACGTCAGACTGTCTACTCTGCAAAAAGGGGTCATTTGGGGGATATCTGTACTAATCTGACATTCTTGGACCTCAAGAAATGAGATTGGCTGTCAGTACTTCAGGATTGATCAATATTCAGATCTATCCCATAGTTTGTGAACTCTATAACTTTCCTACAAACTAACAAATACATCCTAATTTGGGTTATTTTCACCAAAGACATGTAGCAGAATACATCTCGGCCTAAATTTATGAAGAACAATTATTTATTTGCAAACTTTTATAACAGAAACAAAGAAAAACGTTTTTTTTTTTTTCAAAATTTTCGGTCTTTTTTTGTTAATTTAGCAAAAAATAAAAAGGTTCTATTTGTCTAATATTTATGTAGCGCTGCACTCCCTGTTTTATGATTCTAGTAGGAAGGTTTTGTGGTTTCTTTTAGTGCATTGGTCGCTTTGCAGAGTGCGCTCACTAACTTACATATATTGAAAAAAAAAAACCCTGGCGATGATTAAATACCACCAAAAGAAAGCTCTAGTTGTGTGAAGGAAATGATAAAATTTTAGTTTGGGTACAATGTTGCATGACCGCGCAATTGTCATTCAAAGTGTGAGAGCGCTGAAACCTGAAAAATGGCCTGGGCAGGAAGGTGTAAAATTGCTTGGATTTGAATTGGTTAATTAAATATATTTTCAGGTTCATGTGCCCTTTAAGCCTGTGGCACCTGAAAAGCTGCATCAAATCCAAAATGACAGCATTTATTTTTTAGATATGGTTTTCAGTGCGCATTAGGCTAATCTATCTTTGATATAAATGTAGATTTACAGATACCTAGTGCAGATGTGAAGATGGTTTGGAAATCTTTACATCAGCAGGAAAAACAAGGATCTTTGGAGCTTGCAATTTCTCCTGGACATGCATGAAAGTCTCCCGTGCAGTTTCAGCTACTTCAAAGGCCGGCTGTGCCAATTATATTTTCTGCTGTCCCTTTTACTATACTCACCTATGGTATAGTAACATATTTCTGAAGTAAATGTTTCTTGGTGTAATTTAAAACACAATAGAGGCCTCTCTAAATTCTACCCAGCAAGCTTGGCCTTATTAAATGTTCACATTGAAATTCAAGCCACAGCCACAAAAGAAGCTCCCCTGCTGCAGGATGGCACAATATGCAAATGCAGGTCAAACTAGTTGGATTTATTTGAAGGGAGAGGAGGGTGTCAGACACTATCCCTGGAAGTTTGAGACTGGAAATTAGATTTTAATTTTCTTTTCGACCATCTGAATAACTAGTAGTAAGTTTGGTCAGCTTGAAGAGGGTTAGTTGGTGTAAATGTCCTCTTTGGAGCTTTCAAAATCCAGTTCATCTTGATCAGCGCCACAGACACAGAAGTCTTAGATTGGGCTTAGGCCAGGCTTTTAAACTTGCCTTAAAGTGCACATAGTGTGCATTTAGATATTATATAAGAAATTTACTGCTTTCAGAAACCTAGAGGTGCTTAAAATGCCAGAAAAAAATATACACAAAATTGCATTTGAAAAAAACACTGATGTTTATCAGATTACCTTGGCTTCAGTGATCAAGGGGAGCAAAAAAATGCCCTGGTATCAGTGGTCAGTAGGAGGAAAAAAATCCTCTGGTGTCAATGGTTCATGTGAAGAAAAAAGTGCCCTTTGTCAGTGGTCAGTAGGAGGAAAAGAAATGCCCTGGTGTGTGTGATCAGTAGAAGGAAAAAAATGCCTTACCAATGGTCATTAGGGGGAAAATGCTTCACCAGTGGTCAGTTAGAGGACAATAATGCTCTAGGATTACTAGACAGTAATGGGAAAAAAATCCCCATCTTTTATTTCAAATAGTAGGAAAAATTGTCCACATGTTGGTGGTTAGTGGAAAGAAAAAGGCCCCAGTGTCAGCAATCATTAAGAGGAAGAAATACCCTAACATTGGTGTCAATAAGAGTAAAAATATTAGGGGCTCTGAAGTCAACTGGAGCACTCTACAAGGGACTGGAGGACACTGTAGGGGGCTGGGGGCTCTGCAGCAGGCTTTGGGAGCACTCTGGGGGCTTTGGGGCATGGTGGGGACTGCGGGACTGATTGTAGTTGAGTCATTGGGGCATGCTTGGAGCACTTTGGGAGAGCTTGGCATTCTGTAGAAGTCTATGGGGTCAATACAGGATGCTGAGGGACTGTAAAGGGAGGCACAGTAAACAGATGGTGAATCTGTGAATTGAATCAGGCATTGTAAGAGAAAGGGGGCTCTGGAAGAGGTCTGTAGGCACAGTACTACTGAGGGCAGTACACGGTAGGGAGCAGTAAAGGAAGTATGCAAAGCAGTGCAGGTCAGGTGGCTGTGGGGGCATTGAGACAATACGTATAAAATAATTCTTCGCACCCATTTTCTATTTAGACTTGCTGTCAGTGAGGCAATCCCATGAGAAGTGAAAGTGAAAATTCTACCAATCCTCTCTCCGAAGAACAGGATTTCATTCCCAAGTGGGTGTGCATGTTGTTGCGAGGCAGTAATGGCACAATAAACAGCCCCTTGCTAAACTAAAAATCTTCTTTCTTCCAAGTGATGCCCCTTTGTCTTTCAGTGATACTTGGGGTAAAAAGTTAATTTGCTAAATGTTTATGTTGGCCTTTAACATGTAAATTTAAACTGTAAGGTCACTCCAAAGATGGCTTTTTTTCTTACTGGACAACTGTCTCCTAAACATTCACTGTAAGTAAGAACTTCCATTCAGTCAATTAACTTATTTGTCCAGCCTCTTAAAATATAAGTATAAGGCTGCCAACCATCCATATTTTTAGACAGTCTGTGAAAAATAGGCTGTTTTCTTCCTTGCATTAAACCCTATGCACATTGAGGCCTAAAATATACTTTAGCATAAAATGGTAATTTTTGCCACCAGGGAAGTGGAAGGTGGTGCATGCAACTGTCTCATAGACGTCAATAGCTATACGCAGTCATAATAGGGAATAAAATGTTACTTTTGTGCATAGGATTTAGACATGCACATTCATTTATGATGTATTCCCTGAATGCAGAAATTCTTTGAGGAATATCTCATAAGCACGTGCTGATATTTAAATTTATGCACATAAGCATCAGTGCATATGACCACGTACCACTATTCACGTCTAAGGTTAGCTGCAGGACCGTCTTTAATGCTGCCCAGGGCCCAGTCATTGTTGTGGGGCCCAAAGCAGCTGCCCCCTGAGCTCACGCTACCCGCCTGCACAGACACGCTGTAAGTATTCCTTTGCAGCTCCAATGTGAAAATTTTCATGTGTGTGTATATGTGTGTACAGTAAGTCCTCTGCTTACGAACATTCGAGTTGCGAACTTTCAAAGATATGAACAACCTCCAAGTTTCAAACTTTCAAAGATTCCACATGCATTTACATGCCATATCACGAATGTAGCTCACGTGTCTGCCAGACATTGTCAGCTGTGTGCATCCTCTTTCACAAGCGGTTGTTCTGCTGTGTACGTTACTGTGTAGTACAATAGTGTACAGTAGTACAGTGTTGATTTCAAGCCTAGAATGTCTGGAAGCAAGAATAAAAGCAGTGGTCTTGTCTGGTCACGCAGTGCCAGCCCCTGTATGTCAGCTGTTGTTCTGTACTACTGTACCTTTCAAGGTACTGTAAGATGAAACATCCTTTACATTATTTCTTGTGTTTTCTATGCATTATTTGTGTGAAAAGTATTACAAACCTTACTTTGTTGGACTTAAAAGCAAATTGGACTTACAAACGAACTCCCAGAAAGGAACTCGTTCGTAAGTAGGGGACTTACTGTGTGTGTGTATGTGTGTGAGTATGTGTGTGTATATATGTGTGTATGTATGTGCGTGTGCGTATGTGTTTCTGAGTGTATGTATGCGTGTGTGTATGTGTCTGTGTGTATCTGTGTGTGTATCTGTGTGTTTCTGAGTGTATATGTGCGCGTGTGTATGTGTCTGTGTGCGTGTGTGTATGCCTGTGTGTGTATATGTGTGTGTGTGTATGTGTGTAGATGAGGGTGTATGTGTATGTCTGAGTGTATTAGTGTGTCTGAGTATGTGTGCCCGTGTGTGTATGTATGTGAGAGTGAGTGTGTGTGTGTGTGTGTATGTATATATTTGTGCGAGTGTTTGTGTGTTTTCGGTGGGTGAGCTCTGAAATGAAATCTGTTAGGAAGAGAGCGTTGTACTTGTGTGTGGGTGGGTGAGGGGGACTTGAATGTACACAGTACACCCCTCAACCCTGCACTCTGTACATAGGGCACACCCTCAACCCTGCACTCTGTACACAGCACACCCCTCAATCCTGTACTCTCTAAACAGCACACCCCTGATCCCTGCACACCATACACAGTGTAACCCAAACTCCATACACCGTGCACCCCTAAACCCTGCAATCCGTACATAGCGCACCTCTCAACCTTGCACTCCATATACAGTGCACCCCTCAGCCCTGCACTCCATACACAGGGCACCCCTCAGTCCTGCACTCCATACACAGTGTAACCCTGAACTCCGTACCAGGGGCGGACTGACAACTCATGGGGCCCCCGGGCAATAGGGGATCATGGGGCCCCTGTGTCCTTGCCCAAGCTCAAAAAAGTCTATGAAAAAGGTACCAGGGGCATCTCCCCCTACTGACCCCATGCCCTCGAGCAGTGCCCAAGTTTCCAAATGGTCAGTCCGCCCCTGCTCGGTACACAGCGCGTGCCTCAACCCTGCACTCCATACATAGAGCACCCCTCAACCCTGCACTCCATACATAGGGTACCTCTCAACCCTGCACTCCCGTACATAGCACACCCCTCAACCCTGCCTTCATACATAGCGCATCCCTCAATCCTGCACTTCGTACATAGCACACCTCTCAACCCTGCACTTCATACATAGCACACCCCTCAATCCTGTACTGCATACACAGTGTAACCCTGAACTCTGTACACAGCGCACCCCTCAACCCTGCACTCCATACATAGAGCACCCCTCAACCCTGCACTCCATACACAGGGCACCCCTCAACCCTGCACTCCATACATAGCGCACCCCTCAACCCTGCACTTCATACATAGCAAACCCCTCTATTCTGCACTTCGTACATACTGTAGCATACCCCTCAATCCTGCACTGCATACACAGCGCAACCCTGAACTCCATACAAAATGGAACCCTGAACTCTGTACACAGCACACCCCTCAACCCTGCACTTCATGCAAAGTGCACCTCTCAACCCTGCACACTTTATGTACCCTGGCAGCCCATCCTCAGAGATGCTGCTCACATTGGGCTCTGTTCCTATCTGCACTCAGTCAACCTTCATAGTTGTGTGTTCTCTGCTATGCTCATTGCTAATAACAGGTTCTATAATTTTCTGTCTATCGGTAGGTCTTGTCCCCACCGCAATCTGTGGTGTGCAGGAAGGAAGGAGATTGTGTGCTGTAACCTCTAGCAACCAATCAGTGAGCTGTGATGATGTGCAGTAACCTTTAGCAACCAATTAGTGAGCAGTAATAATGTGCAGTAACCTCTAGCAACCAATCAGTGAGTGGTAATGAAGTGCAGTAACCTCTAAAAACCAATGGGTGAGTGGTAATGATGTTCAGTACCCTCTAGCAATTAATCAGTAAGCAGTAATGATGTGCAGTAACCTCTAAAAGCCAATCAGCAAGCAGAAATGATGTGTTAAAGCTCTAGCAACTGATCAGTGAGCCGTAATGCGTGCTGTAACCTCTAGGAACCGGTCAGTGAGCAGTAATGATATGAATGTAACCTCTGGCAACCAATCGCTGCCTGATCTGTTGCAGTAAACAGATTTTGAGTCTAGATGCTATGTCTCAGAGTGGGGGGCTGGGGGGGTGGTGGCTAGGGGGGCCCCCAAAAAATGTTTTCCCATCAGTATTAAAGACAGCCGTGGCCGGCTGTACTTGCCACCTGTAAAGTTTGGAGAAATGAGGGTGGTCGTGTGCTTGTAAATCTCTATTTACGTTATTAAGTTTGGGGTTACTCGGATTTTGTTATCATCACATAAGAAACGTACACTGTGAGTTGGGAGCTGATTGATTAAATATGCTGACAATCAGCACTGTGCAAACCAGTAGAGCTATGATTGTCTTGGAGTCCTGCCCATTTCTGTATAAGGGCTGCTATATATTATATTACAGGAGACTGACCTCGGGGAAGTTTCACCTGTTTTTGGTTTTGTATGTAAAATTAGATTTTACATATATATACATATATATATATATATATATATATATTTATTTATATATATATATATATATATATATATATATATAGTGGGGATCGCAAGTTTGGGCACCCCAGCTAAAAATTTGTATTAATGTGCATAAAGAAGCCAAGGAAAGATGGAAAAATCTCCAAAAGGCATCAAATTACAGATTAGACATTCTTATAATATGTCAACAAAAGTTAGATTTCCATCATTTACACTTTCAAAATAACAGAAAACAAAAAAATTGCGTCTGCAAAAGTTTGGGCACCCTGCAGAATTTATAGCATGCACTGCCCCTTTGCAAAGCTGAGACCTGCCAGTGTCATGGATTGTTCTCAATCATCGTCTGGGAAGACCAGATGATGTCAATCTCAAAGGTTTTAAATGCCCAGACTCATCTGACCTTGCCCCAACAGTCAGCACCATGGGTTCTTCTAAGCAGTTGTCTAGAAAACTGAAACTGAAAATAGTTGACGCTCACAAAGCTGGAGAAGGCTATAAGAAGATAGCAAAGCGTTTTCAGATGTCAATATCCTCTGTTCGGAATGTAATTAAGAAATGGCAGTCATCAGGAACAGTGGAAGTTAAAGCAAGATCTGGAAGACCAAGAAAAATATCAGACAGAACAGCTTGCAGGATTGTGAGAAAAACAATTCAAACCCACGTTTGATTGCACGATCCCTCCAGAAAGATCTGGCAGACACTGGAGTTGTGGTACACTATTCCACTATAAAGAGATACTTGTACAAATATGGTCTTCATGGAAGAGTCATCAGAAGAAAACCTCTTCTACGTCCTCACCACAAAAATCATTGTTTGAACTTTGCAAATAAACATATAGACAAGCCTGATGCATTTTGGAAACAAGCTCTGTGGACCAATGAGGTTAAAATTGAACTTTGTGGCCGGAATGAGCAAAGGTACGTTTGGAGAAGAAGGGGCACAGAATTTAATGAAAAGAACCTCTGTCCAACTGTTAAGCATGGGGTTGGATCAATCATGCTTTGGGGTTGTGTTGCAGCCAGTGGCACAGGGAACATCTCACGAGTAGAAGGAAAAATGGATTCAATAAAATTTCAGCAAATTTTGGATGGTAACTTGATGCCATCTGTGAAAAAGCTGAAGTTAAAGAGAGGATGGCTTCTACAAATGGATAATGATCCTAAACACACCTCGAAATCCACGGGGGATTACATCAAGAGGCATAAACTGAAGGTTTTGCCATGGCCTTCACAATCTCCTGACCTCAACATAATTGAAAATCTATGGATAGACCTTAAAAGAGCAGTGCGTGACAGACAGCCCAGAAATCTCGAAGAACTGGAAGACTTTTGTAAGGAAGAATGGGCAAAGATACCTCAAACAAGAATTGAAAGACTCTTGGCTGGCTACAAAAAGCGTTTGGCAAGCTGTGATACTTGCCAAAGGGGGCAGTACAAGATATTAACTCTGCAGGGTGCCCAAACTTTTGCAGAAGCCATTTTTTTGTTTTCTGTTACTTTGAAAGTGTAAATGATGGAAATAAAATCTAACTTTTGTTGACATATTATAAGAATGTCTAATCTGTAATTTGATGCCTTTTGGAGATTTTTCCATCTTTCCTTGGCTTCTTTATGCACATTAATACAAATTTTTAGCTGGGGTGCCCAAACTTTAGATCCCCACTGTATACACTGCTCAAAAATGTAAAGAAATACTTTTTAATCAGATTATGACATCAAGTCAATTAAACTCTTGGGATATTGATCTGGCAAGTTAAGTAGCAGAGGGGGTTGTCAATCAGTTTCCAATACTTTGGTGTTAATGAAATTAACAACAGGTGCACTAGATGGGCAACAATGAGATGACCCCAAAACAGGAATGGTTTTTACGGGTGAAGGCCACTAACATTTTTTCCCTACTCATCTTTTCACTAGTTCACTGACTGCTTTTCACTAGTTTTGCATTTGGCTAGGGTCACCACTGGTAGCATGAGGCAATATCTGGACCCTACAGAGGTTGCACAGGCAGTCCAACTCCTCCAGGATGGCACATCAATACATGCCATTGCCAGAAGGTTTGCTGTGTCTCCCAGCACAGTCTCAAGAGCATGGAGGAGATTCCAGGAGACAGGCAGTTACTCTAGGAGAGCTGTACAAGGCCGTAGAAGGCCCTTAACCCATCAGCAGGACTGGTATCTGCTCCTTTGTGCAAGGAGGAACAAGATGAGCACTGCCAGAGCCCTACAAAATGACCTCCAGCAGGCCACTGCTGTGAATGTTTCTGACCAAACAATCAGAAACAGACTTCATGAGCGTGGCCTGAGGGTCCAACATCCTCTAGTGGGCCCTGTGTTTACTACCCGGCACAGTAGAGCTCTATTGGCATTTGCCATTGAATACCAGAATTGGCAGGTCTACCACTGATGCCTTATGCTTTTCACAGATGAGAGCAGGTTCACCCTGAGCACGTTACAGACGTAAAATGGTCTGGAGAAGCCTCAGAGAACATTATGCTGCCTGTAACATCATTCAGCATGACCGTTTGGCGGTGGGTAAGTGATGGTCCGGGGAGGTATATCCATGGAGGGATGTACAGATCGCTACAGGTTAGACAATGACACCCTGACTGCCAGTAGGTACCGTGATGAAATCCTTGGACCCATTGTCAGACCCCACGCTGGTGCAGTGGGTCCTGGGTTTCTCCTGGTGTACGACAATGCCGGCCTCATGTTACATAGTTACATAGTTAGTTTGGCTGAAAAAATACAAAAGTCCATCCAGTTAAACCATAAAAAAAAAAAAGTTAAAATCCTACATCCACAGTTGATCCACAGGAAGGCCCAGAAAAACCCAGAAAAACATGATGCAATTTGCTCCTGCAGGGGAAAAATTCCTGTCCTGATCCCTTGAGAGGCAATCGATATTCCCTGGATCAACTTTACCTATAAATGTTAGTATCCAGTTATATTCTGTGTATCCAAGAAAGAATCCAGGTCTTTTTTAAAGTTATCCACTGAGCTGGCCAGAACCAACTCTTGAGGGAGTCTATTCCACATTTTCACAGCTCTTACTCTGAAGAAACCTTTCCATATTTGGAAATTAAATGTATTTTCCTCTAGACGTAAAGAGTGCCCCTTGTCCTCTGTGATGACCTCAGGGTGAATAACTCTACACCGAGTTCACTATATGAACCACTGATGTATTTATACATGTTGATCATATCCCCCCTTAATCTCCTCTTCTCAAGAGAGAATAAATTCAGTTCCTCTAATCTTTCTTTTATAGCTGAGCTCTTCCATGCCTCTTATCAGTTTGGTTGCCCTTCTCTGTACTTTCTCCAGTTCCCCAATGTTCTTTTTGTGAATTGGTGCCCAAAATTGAACTGCATGTTCCAGATGAGGTATTACTAATGATTTGTATAGGGGTAAAATGATAAACCTCTCTCTGGAGTCTATATCACTTTTAATACAAGAGAGGAT